ATTAAAAAAATATATAATACTAATTATATATATATATATATATATATATATATTGCACCCAACGCTTTTTGAATTACCATTAAAACAACATATAGTCTGCCTCTTCACTAAAACTCATGAAGACAAACCAAAATGCATCCTGCCTCTTTGCACCTATACACAAACTTATTTTCCTTCAGCCAGCATGGCTGCAGTCAGTTTGATATATTTTCTGTAAAGTCTGAGATTGCGTAAAAACCTGGCATATCCATGCCTGTCCACCCACTTAGTGCACAGTTCGGCTTAATCTTCCTGAAACACCCACAATCCCATGCTCCTGTTCTAGCACCTCAACTCCCACAGCTCTCAGAAGCGTGCAGAATATTCGAGTATTCCCTCATGCTCCGCTCCAAATTCTTGGCTGCCGCAATCCTTATCTTAATATGCAAATAAAAGAAAAACCAGATTATTTCAAGTGACTTACAATAATCCTTCTACTTTCATAATTAAAGACTCAAAAACCCACACACATTTCCCACACTTAATTTCTATATTTAGTTCTCCTAAATGTTATAAATGCAATTAAAAATAAGTTTAAAATAGCATTCAACAACATGTTGCATAATAAAATCAATGCAATCACACAGACATCATTCTAGATATTCAGCAGTTGAAGAATACCATATCCAACACATCCACCAAGGGAGATCTTTTGTTGAGACTGGTTTGTTCCATCCAGTTACTTGTTTCACACTAGTGTGAGTGAAGTGACATGTGGCCAAGTATGGTGACCCATACTCGGAATTAGTGCTCTGCATTTATCCCATCCAAAGTGCACACACACAGCAGTGAACACACACACACCGTGAACACACACCCGGAGCAGTGGGCAGCCATTTTTTGCTGCGGCGCCCGGGGAGCAGTTGGGGGTTCGGTGCCTTGCTCAAGGGCACCTCAGTCGTGGTATTGAAGGTGGGAGAGAGCGCTGTAAATTCACCCCCCCCCACCTACAATCCCTGCCGGTACCAGACTCGAACCCGCAACCTTTGGATTACGAGTCCAACTCTCTAACCATTAGGTCATGACTTCCCCAAAAGAGGCTCCAAAGCAGGCTCGTCCGGGATTTTGAAACAGGGACCTCTCGCACCCTAAGCGAGAATCATACCCCTACACCAACGAGACACAGGGACTTTATTACCTATCTTATGCTAGGAGATGAGAGGGCCATATCTTAAATTACTGCACTTTGTAAGATGAGAGTGATCTGATAAGGCCAAGAGAGGTAATTCATAGTACATCACAACTAACAGCAGCTCTTCAACGCAGTACAAAGTGAGAGTGGATGTTACATCCACCCTGCTGTCATTAGCTCTTTGAACCAAAAAGGAGCCCAGCAGTTTCAGAAGATATGCTATGATATTTAAAAGGAATAAGAGAGATATGATATAAATGTGAGGACACTGATAAAGCACAAAGAGGGTTGATAAAGGAGCAAAATTAAAAATAAATAATAATGTATTAATTAATAATGACAAATGAATGATTACCATAATAATAATAATAAATGACAACATGGCTATTTCTTGAAGACTTACATGTCTGGATTGTTCATTTTATGTGATTGTAAACATTTTCTAATCGTTTCATTATGTAGCCTATATATTTTTCAATTGGAATAAATAAATAAATAAATCATCTTTAATTAGTAATGAAAAAATGAATGATTACCAAAAGAAAAAAATAATAACAAATGAAAATAAAAATACTGATGTCAACATGCAGCGCACAACAAAATAATAACTATAAAAATAAAAAGCTATTTCAGAAGACCAACATGTATGGAGTTTTTAGCTTATGTGATAGAAAACATTTTAATAATATGTCTCAAATGACATGTTGCACATTTAAACGCAAAGGAACAAAGGATAAACAACTCCTGATGTGTTTTTCTTCCGCTAATTTAAGTAGATTATTATTTGTGTGTACTAATTAAAGTTTACCGAGGGTGGGGGCTTCCGGATGATAGCAGCACTGGGACCTGCTCAGCTCCTCATCACGTTCAGCCGGTCAGAGGATGGAGGCGAGGTGAAAACACATCTCATTGGCTCCCGCTGCTCCATTTAAAGGAATCCACCTGGTTTGTCCTTTAAGATCCTTCAGAATCTCCTAAGAGGAACTTTAAACGTTCGCTACTTTCTGAAAGGGACCATAAATCTTTGAAGATCAGATTCGGAGCGTGGAGCAACGTCTTTGAGCCACTTTTACTGTAGCCTACGTAAGAGAATCTCATCAGTGATCGACGAGCGATTTGAGAGCAGCAAATAGCAATATTTCTTGTCTCACTGAAATACTAGCCTATAATAAAGAGAGAGATTTCTGTGGTGCACGAGGGATCTCCATAAGATTTTAAAGGGTTACTTGGGGACTTTATTCCAGATCCAAAGGATTGAGATATGAATGATTAACACTTTTATTGACCAGCTGATCTCATATTAGGCTACTCCAGTCATGGAACGACGGGGTGCTTTTTTTTATAAGTACATAATATTTTTTCCCATGATATGGAGAGTTCGCCATGTACTCCTTCGGGAACCGCTGCTGTAGGTAACTTTTATACCATGGATTCAAGAGGGCTTTCAACAAGTTTTAGGGCTCGTTTATCTTCTGGAACGTGATTCGAATTTATTCTGCGGTTTCGTGAGGTAATTACGCAAAGGCTGCAGGATTTCTGAAGACTTTTGAAGAGGGTTTTGTCATTCATTTATCGCACGATCCGGAGCAGATCTCGTCGGCTCTTATGGGAATTAAACACTCCTCCCGCTGTTTGCTCCTCAGGAGAAAAATGGCGGATGCGGAGAGCACTGAGGTAAGCGACGTGAATTAACAGATCAAATGAAACGAGACATTAAATCATTTTGAGTTCCGAAGCCTCAATAGATCATATTTGCGTTTAAAAGCAACTCTGCGTTCGAGGTTTTGAGTTTTCGAGGTTTCTACCAGTGTACGAATTATATACTGAACTTTGACGTTGGCCAACGTGTTTAAACGAACTTCTATAGGTATTTTTCGCGGCTCCGTTGAGGTTTCTCTCGCGCAAACCACATTACAGCACAGTTCACATGTCATCTCAGTTGTTTTTAAAGAAACACTTTCTTTTTAATGAAATGTAAACCTATAAATGCTATAATACATAAAGTGCCAAATATTGACAGTTATTTGGGTTTTGTCAATTCTGATCCTAAACGGAAAGCGTTCGAGGGGCGTTCTGTTGCTGTATGGTTACCTACGCAAGTGTAAGCGCCTTCTGTTCTCAAGCGTTTACTTTGCACATATGGTTAGTGAAATATTATTTGAAAACGCTGTTTTTAAATGTTTTTATATATATATGACAAGTTTGTAAACCCACTCGCGTGCGAATTCAAGTTGGCTGGTTGCATAATTAAACGCTGCTTTGGGGTGGACAAATGGTTAAAGTCTGGGCTGGTAACCAAAAGGTTGTAGGTTCAAATTCCGCAAAGGTTAATCCATTGAGTAACACACACAACTTCAAGTCTGCTCCAGAGAGACTGCTCCTGAAATAAGTGTACTGTCTATGAGACACTTTGTATAAAGCCTAAGCGAAATGACTAAGTAGTGATTGATTCAAAGCTGCTAATGTTCTGTGATCAAAAAAAAGGGAAAAAGAGTATATATATATATATATATATATATATATATATAAAGCTCTAAAAATTTTAATTGTTTGTTACCAAAAAAATAAAAAAACCCTTAAGACATTTTGCCCTCATGTAAACAGTGTTAACTAACAGTATTAACTACAAATGCAAATGCTGTCACTGGGGGCGGTACCTTACGAAAGGTACACTTTTGTTCCTTTTAGGTAGGCTACTAATATGTACACTTTAGGTGTGTATTGTTAAGATATCAATATGTACCCTTTAACCCAGTGACAGCTTTTGTCCCTTTTTTTTCTGAGTGTAGATAAGCACATGCTAGAAATCAAGCATTTATGTTACTGGACTTTTATTACTGACTCAACCTAATTTCTGAGATCACAAGCACTATGTGATAACTAGCCTGGGAACTATCAAAGCTTTGGAATCACTTTGTGTTGTCGTATAGAGGAAGACATCTTAAAATTGGAATTGGCCCTGGGCCCACTCTTGCAAGCACTTTTGCTCTACTTGAGTGTCCCATATCAGTGAGAGGCCAGAGTTTTAGTTGAGGGCAGCAAAAGGCCAATGAAGTCCGTTTATAGTAGGGCAGAAAGCTAAGTATCTGAGTCATCATCCACATAGCTGGTGGTTTATATCTCAGGACTACTAAGAAGTGGAAACATTCATGGGACGGAAAGGTTAGTGAGGTTGCAATCCAGTGCTGCCACTGAGCAAAACACTTTGATGAATTCCAGTTTCATTAGTGGCCTTGAACCTTGTCTAATACTCAATGAGGGATTAGCCAGCTGGAATGAATTGACATAGTCATGAAAGCATGAAATCTAATCCATGTTCATTAAATGATGAAGAAAAGGGCTGTATTTAAGGAATCTGTTCTTATAATAGTTCCTCAAAGTTCAGCGCAGCAGTAGGTCACTGTATAATGTAAAGGGATCTTTAGAACCCCTCTGATGGATGCTGCCTGACCTCTGAAACCTCTCCCAAAATAGCAAGACTGCTCTGCACTAGGACTATTAGTCTGTCAAACAGGCTTCCACCGAGAGCAGATGGAACTACACTCTTAAAAAGAAATGTTCCAAAAGGTGTTTTCACAGCAATGACTGAGGAAACACCTTTGGTTCCCCAAAGAACATTTCAGTGAACAGTTCATAAAAGAGCCATTTGTTTAAAAAATTTGTAGCTAGGGACCTCTGGTTGAGTTGACACAAAATTAGTTGACAGAATAACTGCACCTAAATGTTCTCCAATGTATTGAATGCAATTGTTTGAGAGGTTTTATTGCCTTTCAAAAGAGGAGCTGTTGTGCACTTCAAGGTCAGCAGGCCAGTGGGTTTCAAAAGTATAAAGCTTACAGTTGTGATTCTTGCTTGAGAAAACACCACTTAGCTCTGAAATGCACACTGGAAGCTGCAGCTTTATTACACAATGACCAGCCAAAGCAGAGAGGGCTGCCCGTAAATCTGCTAAATTCATAAGAGCTGTTCTAAACATATTAATGATTTAGATATGCAATGCTAAACAACTCTTAAACTCTTAAGTTGTTCCCTGTCATAAACCTACACTAGAAAAAAACTCTGGTAGTTCTATTTATGAAAGGATCCCAAGAGCACCTATTTTTCCTCTAACGCACATCAATCCAGTTATGTCACGAACAAACTATTAGAGTTCTCAAGAACATGGCTGTAAGGTAGAGTGTTGCCGAAAAGTGCCATTTGTTGAGGTTAAAAATAGAATGTGAATGAGATTTGTTAGCTGACTGGAGGGGGCAAGGACATGTGTTCCCCCTCCCATCATTTTAATAGATGCAACCAACACCTTTATGCCTCTTGATACAGCTGCTCTTCCCTTCTGCTGACACCCATTATTTGAAATCTCCTGAGCTGACAGGCTGCACACACACCCACAGGCAAATGTAGGTACACTTATGCAAATACAAAAACAGGCACACATATCTTCACTATCACACAATTACAAAACAGCATATGAGATATGTAGGATATTAGCGCCCAACATTAAGAGTTTAATGCTTCTATATGACAAAAAAAGTTCTAGATTAGGTGTTTTCAAACTTGACAGAGCCATGGGCCAATGGGCCAGCGAATTAATTCCAGGAAAAAAGTATTTTATAAAATATTATTTTATTGTATATTAAATATATAAAATTATACAATACATAACAAATATATATTATATTTATATATAAAGTCTTTTATGTATATGTCAAAGCTTTCAATGGCTCAAATTGCATTTTCATACCCGTTTGTTGTCTGTAATGTGGTATAATGGTTTATTAGTATTTTCTCTGCAAGGCAGAGGAAGAGCCAAGCTTCTCTGCAGGATGTAGATGTGCTAATCAGAGGCTTACCATGATATGTAATGCTTGTCTTAAGTCGTTTCCATGCCAATCTAACTGTCCTGTGCTCCCTTTGCTCGCAGGGCACAAACTGCCTCTGTCAGGTCTCCGAAATCTGACAGACAGATGCTAGACCTTCTGGGAAGGCTCTCCTGACATGATAAAGGAGAGTTTTTAAACAGTACTTAATATAGTGTCACTGTTCATTTTGCTTTTTGAAGGATCATACACCACATGAATCTGTCAGTTGGGGTGATATCATTAACAACTGCCCAGGTTATATTTCAAAACAAAACAATTAAAAATAACAATACGACAAAATTTTATACCTTAATATATCAAATAATCTATAAAGACCTTACATTTTAATAATACAGTCACACCAATAATTATTTGGCCTCTTAAAAATCTTAATGTTATTGCATTAGAAGCATATCAAACCAAACAGCATAGGGAAAAAAAAGTTAGACCTTTTTTTAGTTTCACATAAACTCCTAATTCGGAGAAAAAAAGTCCGAATTGTGAGATATACTCAGAATTCAGATTTTTTTCCCTCACAATTCCGAGTTCTGTTCACAGTTCTGTTTTTTGTTTCCGCCATCAAATAAAGAATAAAAAAGGTAATTGCAACTTTTTATCTCACAATTCTGACCTTTTTTCTCGCAACTTTGAGTTAATATCTCGCAATACTGACTTTACATCTCACAATTCTTTTTGTCTTTGTGAGATATAAACTCAGAATTGTGAAAAAACAAGTCTGAATTGTAAGATAAAATGCCACAATTACCTTTATTTTTTATTCCATGGTGTAAACAGCCTTCCATAAGAGTGAAAAATTTAAGGGGGTCTGAATACTTTCCGTACCCACTGTATATATTTTTTTATTTCAATTACTTAATTAATATATTTATTTTCTAGTTCGATATTTTGTTAGACATTGAAACACATTTAAGGATGGTTTAAGCATCTAAATATTTTATGGTGTTTCCCCGTTCTAGCAACAGCCCCTGAGTGCCGCCCTGTCCCAGTCGGTCCAGCCGTCTCCTCTGCCCAAACCAGTGTCATCGGTCCATCATGCCCAGCGGCCCACACACCCATCTCACACGCCTCACACCCCTCATTCAGCCAACTTACCCAGCTGCCCTGGCAGAGGAAAGATGGCCAAGTTCCTCAACCCTGAAGAGATGACCTCCAGGGATTACTATTTTGACTCGTACGCCCACTTTGGCATTCATGAGGTATGAGCACATAAGAGCAGCGGTTGCTTGCATTTAACAGAGATGCTGAGACGTGTGATGTAGGATATAAGTACTCATGGTTATCGACATCACTCATGTTGATTTATGCTGGGTGTTATGTATAATGCAGAGTATGCAGAGAAATGGAGCAGGAGAGAGACGGGGTGGGGGTGTCACTGAATTATAGGATGAGAGAGCACGGAGAACAGGAGGTTCAGGCGAGACCTGCAAGATTAATTTTGTTCGGACTCATTTTTAGTATATAGGTCAGATCTTTTTCCCTTCCCTCATCTTCCATGTGACAGCCGCATAGATCTGAGGAGACGTGTTGTAATGGTAAAGCAAGTTTTTCATTCTCACAGTTCCATGTAGTAGTCTTATATTTGTTTTTGTAATAATAACCGTGGTTGTGAAATGATTACCTGATTAATATATATTTTTATGGAACTCGAAAATAAATAATTACATGTTTTTATGCACTCCAAAGTACTTCAAAGAATCATGACCAAAAATCCAAGACAATACCATAATGCTTTGTTAGTATAGGTATTTTTGAACGCACTTATAATGCCCTAAATTGTCGCCTAGATAGGCAGATCACTAGGTTTTGAATTTTCATTGATTAGATTTAATAATCACATTGCCTTATTAACCCTGTATATGTAAATAAATAAGATCTTTAAAACAGTATAGCAGACTACTTACATAAAATGCATATAAATATAATTTGTCACTCTTATCTCCTAATAATATGTCACAGTAAGATGATATTTAAATGTTGATCATTTAGAGCCCTTAGAAATGTGTGTGTATCAAATATGATACAGAAGGCTTTATATGGTTTAACATCTTTAAAACTACTGAATAATCTGTTGGCTGTGTTTTAAACTGAGTGATATTGTATCTTTTGAGACTGCATATTTTACCAAGATATACCTAGATATTTACATGTCCAAAAACAACACCATGGCACATTTTTGCTTAAGGGTGAGGACTGAATAATTCATTGGGTGTGTTTCAATACAAAAAGTGAGCTGCCTACCTAGACAACATCTTATATGCCCTACAAAAAAGAACTAGCAAACCCATGCTATAGTGATCTATTAGTGATACCATTGTTTTTTATTTAATATATACCATGCTGTAGGATGGTTATCCCATCCACTCAGAAATTGCTAGTAAATTCCACAAATAATTACAAAGAAACAGGAAGTAGAACACTGAATTAAAAGGGATATTTTAGAAGGAAAACTGAAATAGTATTTTCTTGTAAAACCTACTCCAGTACTTTTTTTATTTACAACTTTAGAAAAATCTTTTTTTTTTTATGGTCTACCATTGTATTTAAATGGCACTCAGAGTTACAATAAACTATAGTACCATGTCCAAACAACCATGATTATATACTATGCCACGGTAGTTTTCTGTTAGAGAAACATTTTCAAACATTGACGGGAGCTCACCAAAATTTGAAACACAATCATTATGTTACAAAACAGAACAAACTGTGCATATGGTAACACTTTATTTTAAGGACTAATTCTCAGTATTAAAGTAGTTGCTTATTAGCATTCATATTAATAGCATATTAGCTGTTTATTAGTACTTCTAAAGCACATATCAATGCCTTATTCTGCATGGCCATATTTTAGATCCCTTAATCCTACCACATACATAAACTTAACAACTACCTTACTAACTATTAATAAGCAGCAAATTAGGAGTTTATTGAGGCAAACGTCGTTGTTAATAAAAGTTAATAGTGAGAATTGGACCATAAAATAAAGTGTGACCATGTGTGTATATCTGTGCGTGAATGTACAGGAAATGCTAAAGGACGAAGTGAGGACGTTGACATACAGGAACTCCATGTACCATAACAAACACATCTTCAAGGACAAGATCGTGCTGGACGTGGGGAGTGGTACTGGCATCCTCTCCATGTTTGCTGCCAAGGCCGGAGCCAAGCACGTGTATGGGGTAAGAGGGCGGCCCTCCTTATGCCTAAAACTGTGTTAGCCTGTAGCCTCCTACAATGCTGGAACGATTCACACAGCTCAAAATAGCATCATGTTTGGCAGTCACACCAAGAGCTTTTGAAGGTGTAAACGAATAATCCTCTTATGTAGGGAAATATGACGACATATTACCACCTACTTATTTCATAGTAAAGATTGTAAATATAAGTTCAAAGCAGTTCATAATAGGAAAATGGTCTGTTTAAAGGCCATAACAACATATATTTGATATGATATTCTAGTCTCTTTATATACATGTTTTTGTATATTATCGCATGTATGTTATAACTCATTAATCATTCAGTATTCATAATATATCAGCCAATATTAGATCATTAATTTTGCATGCTCATTTCCTTGTTTTTACATTTATATTATCTTTGCCATCATAATGTAATGCTCAATTAAAGTTAATCAAGTCAAGTTAGTCAGTTTTATATATGTAGTGATTTATACATCACTTCAAGCAGATTTACATTCAATAGTAAATCAGTAGTATGAATGTTTAAAGGTTAAAAGTTTATTTTTCATTTTTTTAATGTATTCAGACAAAATACTATAGTATTTTAGGATTGACAATGTATCTGTTAAATGATTTTGAGTGTGAAAATAATGATCAGCTTATCAGTATCAGCTGTATACACATATTAGGTAATATATATATATATATATATATATGTTATTTCTGTCTTGCTATACCCCCGGTTTCAATCCATTTCTCTTTCTCACTTCCTGTCCTGTCCATTCAGAACTCTCCCTCTCAATGCATTCCTCCCCAGTGCTTAGTGAAGGCTCTTAGCAGGCAGCCTTTATTGGCCGTGCTGATATATCAGGCTCTAACACACTATATTGAGAGGCTGCGGTAATTGGCTCTTTGAATAAATCTGAGAAAGAGACACTGGAAAAAGCAGTAAAGGTCAGAAAGGCCACATTAACCATGTGGTGCTTGTTTTGCACTTTCACTTTGAGAACGAAAGCCAGAGCTTGTTAAGCCAAGTTAGAGTATGAACAGAGAGAGAAACTCTCAATTTTATGTGTCCTGGAAACCTCTTGGGGCAGAATGTTCTGAGAGCTTTTCTCGGTTTTCAGAAGAGAGCGAACTACCTCGGGAAGCCGAACTGTGTGCGGGTGTCTGTCTGAGCCGTGGTCTCTGCTGTAATTGAGCTGATATGATTTACTTCTCGCTGCCCATATCCAGTTGCACTGTGATAATGGACAATTCTCTGAATGGCTTAATCATATTTAAATGCCAGAGAGTTACGCTTGCTGTTACGCGTCAGTGCAAGGAAGAGCAGAGGTCGGATCCAAATGCAAGCAGTAGGAAGTTTAATAAAACAAAAGTAATCCAGAGCATCAAACGATGAACATAACTTGGGGAGAACCAGGCAAAAGAAACAACACGCCACAACTTCACAAAGACAACGACTGACTCTGACTAAAACACAAGACTATTATACACAGAGACACTAACAAGATGACAAGGTAGCAAGACACACATGGGAAAGCAATCAAGAGGACCAATGAAACAAAAGAACTACAAGTTGACTACAAATGGCACTCTAGACAGGAAGTAACACAAATGTCCAAACACAAGACAGGGGAACAAGAGCAAGATCATGACAGAGCCCCCCCCCTTTAGGAGCGGATTCCAGACGCTCCAAAATAAACACTGTTAAGTCCAGGAGGGTGGTGGAGAGGAGGCGGAACAGGGGGAAGGATGGAGGGCCAGGTCCATGTGCAGGAAGATAACCTTGGGACTGAGGCAGAGCTGAAGAGCACCAGGGTGGAGCAGAGAGCCAGGGCGGAGCAGGCAGAACAGGCGGAACTGAGGACCACCAGGGTGGAGCAGACGGCCACAACAGCAGAGCAGACTGGTCCGAAGATCCCCACAGCGGAGCAGACGGAGCAGAAGACCACCAGAACAGAGCAGAAGACCACCATGGCGGAGCAGGCGAAGTAGAAGACCACCACGGCGGAGCAGACAGATGAGGAAACCAGGGCTGAGACTGAGACCTCGGAGGAACTGAAACATAGGAAACAGACAGTTTACTTATGGCCCCAAAGACCGAGGCAGAAGGCACTGTGAGTTCATTGATAATCTCCTCGGCTGTGATGGAAAGGAAATGTTCATTAGCGGCCTCCATAGCCGTGACGGGACAGGCAGAGAGTTCACATACAGCCTCTATAGCCGTGACAGGACAGGCAGAGAGTTCACATAAGTGAATGTCGTTCCGCTCAGCTGCAATGCTACATAGATATAATACTCCAGAGTCCAACTAGGGTCGTGCAGCGGCATGCGCGAGCTGAGTGGTTTGGACAGCCCACCCCGAAAAAATATCATGAGGGGGATTTTCCCCATCTTAGTCAGATGTACCAGCTTAACAAAGTCCACAACTTATTCCTCTATCGGCCGATCTCCCTGTCGGAGGCGCATAATCTCCACTGCTGCTGGATCCATGTTGGTCAGTAATTCTGTTACGCGTCAGTGCAAGGAAGAGCAGAGGTCAGATCCAAATGCAAGCAGTAGGAAGTTTAATAAAACAAAAGTAATCCACCCTCCATAACCATGACAGGACAGGCAGAGAGTTCACTTACGGCATCCATAGCCGTGACTGTACAGGCAGAGAGTTCACTTACGGCATCCATAGCCGTGACAAGACAGGGGTAGGAAGTTTAATAAAACAAAAGTAATCCACAGCATCAAACGATGAACATAACTTGGGGAGAACCAGGCAAAAGAAACAACACGCCACAACTTCACAAAGACAATGACTGACTCAGACTGGCTAAAACACAGGACTGTTATACACAGAGACACTAACAAGATGACAAGGTAACAAGACACACCTGGGAAAGCAATCAAGAGGACCACTGAAACAAAAGAACTACAAGTTGACTATAAATGGCACTCTAGACAGGAAGTAACACAAATGTCCAAACACAAGACAGGGGAACAAGAGCAAGATCATGACACTTGCCAGCTCAAAATGTTCAGCCACAATATGCAGGCCTTTATATCCACCTTATTTTTAACACATGAGCGGACACTGCATATTTTTAACTTGAATTGTGTCAGGGTTTCAGTGTCAGTCGTTTCCAGTTATTTTAGATGTAAAAAAAAACAACATTCCATTATGCTGATAGATGTTGGAAACCGGTATTTGTTATAATATTATTTATCTATTTAATAATTATTTATCGTAATAATAAACACATAGTTTTACAGTTTACTGTGCAGTTATTCTTATTATTATTTACCTATGGTGGCAAATGAGTTGGAAGTCTTGCACATTTCACAGGAAATCTTTTACATCCGCATTAAAAAGTTAGGTGAATATATGATTATTGTCTGTCCTTTATTGTAAGTTTCTGGATTTTTTTTTCACTCACTTTACTGTCTGCCAGGCAAAAACCATACATGTCCATAGCTCTTTAGAATAAACCTCTAACCATACACTATAAGAACAAAATCTGTAGAAAATCGTAAAAGGTACTAGTCATTTTCTTCCAGGACATTATCAGTTAAGTTTACGGATATATTTTTTGACCCTAAAGTATGGGCAATAGTGCCTTAGCAAGCCCTACAATTTCCACATTAATTAACAATTTATAGTATTTATGTATGTTTATTTTTATAAAAAATAATTTTAAACTGAGAGTTTATTGTTTTGAACCAGTTGGCAGTTGGTTATGTATTTATATTTAAATATTTATGTATTTATATATAAATATTTTTTATCATTAATAATATTACATTTTGTATAACTTCTGTAAAAAAAGAGCATGGTGTTAGCAAAGCCAAAATCATGGGTCCAGCTCCCTGGGAATACATAAACTTATAAAATGTATAGCATAAAATGCAATATAACCTGCTTTGGGTAACAGCGTCTGCCAAATTCGTAAATTCTATATGTACTTCATACTATAGCTCATGACTTTGTGGATGTTCATGACGTTAGCAGATAATTATTTGCTTTCATATGTAACTTGCACCTATAACATTTATTTATTTATTTATTCATGCATGCATGCCCTCTAAAAGCTTGCGTTCTGCAAGTGAACGTCGCTTTATTGTGCCATCCCAAAGAGGCACAAAATCACTTTCACAGACTTTTAAATTAAATGTTCCCTCCTGGTGGAATGACCTGCCCAACTCAATCCGAGCAGCTGAGTCCTTAGCCATCTTCACGAATCGGCTAAAACACATAACTTCCATCTTTATTTGACCCTCTAACTCTAGCACTCTCTATTCTAATTATATTCTTTCATGAGAAGTGTACTGTATAGGACTTATAATTTTGTGATTGTATTACTTGTCTGTACAAAAATGCATGGTATTTGAAATGCAAAGTTGTCTAAATGATCTTTTTAGCAGTTTTTAACTGCTGTTTTAGGTGGATGAACTCCTGGTTATGTGTTACTAGCATATTTTTTTAATTGGTCATTTTGTTATGTCCTTACACATACCATGCAAAACTTAATTTGTTTAATTTGTCATGACGGGAATATTGGGGAACTTAGCACAGGAAGATGCCTTTTTGATTGAGCTACTTGATTGAAACATGCATGTTCTTTCAAAATGAAAACACAGAGGTAAGCCAAATAGTAACTGTTTTAAAGTAAATTTACCATGAAGTGTCATGTTTGAACCAGAAACCTGATACAATGGTGTTAAATCAATTTGAGTATGTTAACATATAATTCTGCTGTCTTACGGCTATACTTTTGAAACAGTATCTATTTTAACATTTATGCTGATGCAAAGACCCACATACTTCCATTGTAAGTGCATTACTGTGAACAGTTTACAAACTGAAGCAAAAGTCAAAGTATTGAACCGGGAAAAGTCCATTAATGCTTAGCAAAATATTTCGGAATGAACATATAAAGCATGCTAGTAGCTGCTGAATTACTACAATTGATATTTTCACCAAATAACTCAAACTGTGACTGAAAAAAAGAGATAAAATCATCATATTTAAAGTTGTCTTGTTTGCAAAGTTTAGCCCTTGATCTCTGTTTACTGTAGCTCAGGCCCTGGCACTTTGATCATGTGTACATCAAGCACTTTTCTTCTGAGAGTGGAAATGTGCTGACTGTGTTATGGGCTTCTCTGATTACTTTTAAACTCAGTGCTGACCCACAGCAGTACGTGAAACTTTTCCAGAAACAGGTGGGGCTGCCATGTAGGAGAAAGCGACGGTTCTGATTATTTGTCAGTTGAAGAGCTGCTGACTGACTCCATGTGCTACACTGGAGTTGATGGCGATGGCTATGGACACTAATGATGGTTGGGTAAACACAAGGGACATCACGAGGCAGAGGGATCTGTGCTGTCTGGAATCAGTCTCTCATTTATACAGCTGACAGCTTCCTACTTAATCTCTCCTCTTCCCTTTAGCCTCGGGCCACTGTGACAGCCCCGTTTCTCTGTGTGCTCGTTTACGTATATTTCTGTCTGACAACGGGACAGGAATCTGGACTGTTTGTGAATGCTAAATAGGGCTCTTTGGGTGGCTGGAGGCTGATCAGAGGAACATGTCTAATGGGCAGGACTGCAAGGTGCAAGAATCATAAGCTCTCAATGTTGAGAGACTCTAAGGGGAAGGACACCGTCTGTGTAACCCATCAAAAACAAGATACTGTACTCTACAGTTCAAAAGTTTGGGGTCTATGTTTTTTTTTTTTTTTCAAAGAAATTAATTATTTTATTCAGCATTTTGCCAACACATGAATAAAATAAATTTAAAAAATACATTAAAATAGAACACAGTGGTTTTAAATTGTAATGAGACTTCACAATATTATTGTTTTGACTGTATTTTTGATCAGATAAATGTAGTCTTGGTGAGCATAACAGACTTCTTTTTTGAAAACAATTTTTACTGGTCCCAAACTTTTGAATAGTAGTTTATGTAACAAAACATATTTAACAATTACAACTGTCCACCACATACAAACACACACACTTTCACAAACTTCTACATCTGTCTAGCTGGTTAAATGTGAAATGTGTAATATTAGCACCACTTGACTTACCAAACAGAACTGCAAAATTAGTGACATTTGTCAGAAAAGCAAACAGTCCAGCCGCAAACTCACGCCATTGGTTGAACCGGTGTCACTACTGTCAGGCAAGTTCTGATATCGCCGCACTGTAAAAAAAATCTGTGACATTTATGGTAAAATACCGGCAGCTGTGGTTGCCAGAACTTCACTGTAAAAAATATGGTAGCAACATTTTAGGTTTTACAGACTTAACTTAAATTCACAATAAAATACCGTATTTAACATACCGTAACATAACTGATGTAATGTTAATAAACCAACATATTGAAGTGTTAATCTCTGTTTTGAACCATTGTAATGCACTGATAACCACCAAAAACTGGTGGTGCACAGTGTCATTCACACAAACACTAAACCCTATCATGGTGACACACATGATACTGAAATAATGCAATAAACATTAATTTAACAACATTAGATGTAAGATTAAACCCTAATGTACACAACTGATAACAAAAAACTAAGAAGAAACATGTTAATTCAACAAAAAAACATATGAAGTGTCATGCAGGGAATTCTGGGAATTGTGTCAATTTACGTTTTTTTCACTGTAAATTACTTTTTCTTTTTCACTTCCAAAAACCGTATTTTAACAGTATTTTACTGTAAAATTACATTAAATGTAATTACATTTATTCACCGAATATAGTATGGAAACTTACTGTTAACCAGTTAATAGGTTTTTACTGTAGCATTTTTACAGTCTTTTACTGTTAAAATCACAATAATGTTTTACAGTGCACAGTGCTTAGAAGGAGTGAAACAAATAAAACATAAAACATAAAAATATTTCTAAGTTTGCTTAATATTCATAAGTCAATCATGCTAGGAATTAAGTATTTTAACATTAACCAAATCAGACAGATCAGTTTCTATAATGCTATGTCTTGTCTGAAAGAGGATGTAAGGCTAGAGAAGGTAATGCAAGATCTACCAGCTAAACCAACCAACTAGAAAGTTTAAATCCTCATATTGTTCTGTTTTTTTCTTCTTCCCTTCCTCAGATTGAATGCTCAAGTATATCAGAATACTCTGAGAAAATCATCAAGGCCAATCATCTGGACAGTGGTAAGAAGATTTGATGTGTGTAGATAATGTATAAGTGTGTGTTGCTGTGTAGTTAGCTTGCTTATGTGGGCGTGTGAGAAAAACAGAATGACAAATAGGATGAAAAATTGACAGGATAAAGAGTGCTTGTCGAGCGTTCTTCTATTCAGCCTCCTAAATATACATAATTTAAAACCTCTGCAGTATTTTAATATTACAGAATTTAAATAGTATATGTTCAGTATGTCTTATAATAAATATAATTATAGAATGACTATCAAGGACACTGTCCTCCCCAAAAAATACATTTTTTTTACTGTCTCGGTTTCCAGTAAAAAAAATACATTACCATTCAAACGTTTAGGGTCATTAAGGTTTTTTTTTTTTTTAAAGAAGACTTTTATGCTTACCATGGCAAAAATACAATAAAAACATTACTATTGTAAAATTTTACTGTTGTCTATTTTAATACATTTCAAAATGTAATTTTCAGCAGTCATTACTCCAGTCTTCAGTGTCACATGATCCTTCAGACATCATAATATGCTTATTTGGTGTTCGAGAGAAATGTCTTATAATTTTCAATGTTGAAAGCAGTTGTGCTGCTTAATATTTTCGTGTAAATTGTGATACCTTATTCTTTGATGAACAGAATGTTTAAAAGAACATCATTTATTAGAAATATATATTTTTGTAACAATGACTTTGCTGTAAATTGTGACCCATTTAATGTATCCTTGCTGAATAAAAGTATTAATTTCTTTCAATAAATAAATAAAAACTCTTCCTGACACTGAGATTTTATTGGCTAAAACATATTTTTCTTAGTACTCAATCAGTGCCTGATTAGAAATGAGAGAAAAATTGCTGCATAGTGTGATTACTCGTAGTCATGAAAACATGTCAAAGTCAAAGTTCAAATTAAACATTTCACTTTCTTTATGTTTTCAGTTAGCCTTTAACAGCACATTTTAATAGTTTAATTCTAACCTTCTATTAGCTAGAACAAGTTATCACTATAACATGATGCTATATTTTCGATCAGGAGAGTTCAACAAAAGGTGATGTTGCAATCTTAGCTGGAGTCTCTCTCTCATACACGTATGGTTTGACCCACATCTTTTAACTAGCCTTAAAAATTCAAAGAGTAGAAAAGATCTGTCAAGTGTCTCTGTGGCCTTATCCTGTCTGTGTGTTCCAGTTATAACCATCTTTAAAGGGAAAGTGGAAGAGACGGAGCTGCCGGTAGATCAGGTGGACATTATCATCTCAGAGTGGATGGGTTACTGCCTTTTTTATGAGTCCATGCTCAACACAGTCATCTACGCCAGAGATAAGTGGCTGGTCAGTGTTTATGTGTGTGTGTAGTAAAGAAAGCACACGTGAGTGTGTGTACTGTATATACAGCCAATGTCTCTACAGAATGAGCAAACACTCTGTGCTCTTCATCTTTAGAAACCTGGAGGTCTGATGTTCCCAGACAGGGCTGCTCTATATGTGGTGGCCATTGAAGACAGGCAGTACAAGGACTTCAAGATTCACTGTGAGTCTCAAAACACACACAGAAACATCTCATATTCCTCAAGGAGGGTTTCATCTATCCAAATACAGTCATGTTTACAAGTTTCTAAGCTGCTACAATTAAACAGGTCTATAATACTATCTTAAAGTGTATTTTTGTCTTACTTCACTGCTGTTTTTTTTTTTTTACTTTAAGCATAAACAAGTTAAAACAAATAGAAAAAAATCTGCCAATGCAGGGAGACAAAATATTTCATATTCAAGATACAATAGTCTTAAAGGTATGATCCACTTTTGGAAGACCAAACAAAGTAGTTTCGCTTTCATAACGAAACACACAGCGTCTCTACGACATGGCGTAGAGCAACAATACTACAGCGAGAATGAAAGTTACACCTTCTTTCTTTGCTTGAACATTTGGGCGGTGTTATGCAAATCTTCCCACACAGTGACGTAGACATGTGTGGGCGCGTTTAAACGAGGCGTTTTAGGGGGGCGTGGACAAGTCTTAACTTTTATAAAGAATATCTCTTTGGGTTTGAGACTTTAGTCTTTGCAACTTTAGGGATCTTATCTATTCATGAACAGCTTGTAAGATTCCAAAGAGGAAGGAAAACTTGAAATCGCATCATATGACCCCTTTAAGATCTTATGCTGTGGTGCTTTCTCAAGTAAATGTATCATGTTTTAAGAATTTTCAGACATTTCTTCTGGGAAAAAAAGGGGGAGGAAGGAAGGAAGTCTCTTATGCATTTATTTGATCAAAAATATAGTAAAATCAGTAATATCATGAAATATTATTACAATTTAAAATATTTTAAATTTCAATATATTAAAATAATAATAAATATAATACATATTTTAAAACACAATTTATTCCTCTGATGGCAAAGCTGAATTTTCAGCCATTACTCCAGTCTTCTTACAATCATTCTATGATTTGCTGTTCAGGAAACATTTCTTCTTATTATCAATGCTGAAAACAGTTGCACTTTTTTTAAAGTTATATTTATGGAATTTTTATGCCTTTATTGGGACAGGACAGTAGAGAGATGACAGGAAAGCATTGGGTGGAGAGAGGGGAGCGGGATCGGCAAAGGACCACGAGACGCAGTTGCACTGTATGTCGACGCACTAATCAATTATCGGCGCCGACCAGTTGCATTTTTTTTTTTAAGCTAGTGTAGGCAGTTTGTGGAGAGATGAGGTTTTTTCATGTGCACTTTTTCTTTTTGGAATTTTCACTGTGAACACGCTACTCGCACTATTTATACTACAAAACGTCATAGAATAGTGCATAAATACGCAATTTATATTTGTGTACATATACACAAAAGTGATGTTTGTTCTATATTTCATGCACTATACATGTGATTTCGAATACATTTCGAGACATCCTTGCTGAAAAAAAAAAAAACGTAGAAACCATTACAGAAATTCTAATGGTTTCCACTAAAAATAAAATACCATTACAAACTTTACAAACCATCAACTATTAACCATTAAAACCATAAAAAATTGTTTCCTGTAGTTTGGGACATATTCCATTAGGATTTAGTGGTTTAATCAAGCCACCAATAAAAAGCAACAAATTACCAGTAGAGCCCCACAGGGACCAGTACAGTTTCCATTAAAACCAATACAATACCCATTATAACCAGTAAAGCATTACAAATTCTGTGATGGTTTCTATTGTTTTTTTCAGCAGGGAATCAAGTGCTATCTTTACACACGTGTAGATTATTTTTGGGGTCTTAGTTAAGCTGTTTATCAAAAATCTAATGATTTTTTGTTTGAGCAGGGTGGGAGAACGTTTATGGTTTTGACATGACTTGCATCAGGAACGTAGCTATGAAAGAACCACTGGTGGACATCGTGGACTCAAAACAAGTGGTATCCAACGCCTGCCTGATCAAGGTCAGCCATTAAAACACTTCACAGAAATCGTGTATGTGCGTGTTTCTCACCGCATGTGTGGTAGATGAGAAGATCAAGTTCCACAGAGAATACAGCAGCATTAGTATGTAACTGATCATTAGCTCTATCACTCAGTGTGACAGTTACATAATGATCCGTTGAAATGCAATTTCATTTCATTATAAACCACTGGAGAAGGTGCTGATGAGATGATTATTGGTTGAATCGGATTCATCAAGCCTGGAAAGTTTACGGCTGCACAGATGGACTGTGAAATGCATCTGCAAACCTCTCATTTTAACTGCTAAAAGATAATATTAAAGAAATATATTTGAAACAAAAGGCTTTTCAGCTATTTACAGATATAAATTTAGCAGCTCTGTCACAACTAATCCAATTTAAAACTTCGATGCAAATCAGAGCTGGAAAATAATTAGATATGTAGCAGTCTTAATAAAGGAATTTGTAAAGTACAAGTGAATTTTGACATCACTACATTATAATATATGAAATGAAAAACATTATATTCATTTACAAATGGTATTAATGGTTTACTTAAAGACTAAATGTTCAATTAATAATATATAGTAATATAAAAGTAATATATAGTAAATATATTTATTGCTTTTGCTGTCTTTCTTTAAAATAAAATATATTATTTAGTATTTTTTAGTGCCATTTAATTCGCAAAATACCATTTGGAGCCATTCCTTTTTCTACTGATTGAAGTGTGTCCTGAACTGACCTTAGAGGAAATGATATAATGATATTCTGGCATATTCTACTCCAGTCATTAGTTAAAGTTTCATTAACGTAATTTTTTTTTTAAGATCTGGGCCCGTATTCTTAAAGCTTCTAAGAATCCTCTCAGAGAGCTCCTAATTTATCTTTAAAAATTCTAACTAGGAATCTTAGCTTAGGAGTGATTCAGCACCAATCTGAGAGCAACTCTGAGCGAGGGAAAGACAAAAACTTTCATCATAGTGAGGAGGTGTGGCTTACCCCCGTTGCTAGGTATGACACATTCTTTAAAAGACTGTAATTGGTTGTCCAAGAAGAAAAAAATAAGATATAGGGTCTCTTTTTTTCCTATTTTAACCTAATTACTCTCTCACACATACACAATATAATAATATAATATGTAAAGAATAATTGACGACGGGCCATTGAATTATTAGAAAAATAATCGTTACACCTCGGGTGTGCATTATTTTCTAATAATTCAATGGCCCGGAGTCAATTATTCCGCTTATACTATGGTTGCCACACCTAAAGACATTGATCAGATATATCAGATATATTTCAAGGCATTCGTCCGGTTTTTTGTACTTAAAACGCTATTGTGAGTAGGATTAATTTCTTCCGCATCTCATCCAACGCCTCCGTTGCTAATTCCAAAACATCATTTTAGACCTAGTAACGGAGGCTTGATCTGTTGATAGCAGACTAATGCAGATATTAATGAAGTTATTAGACAGACAGAGAGAGAGAGAGAGAGAGAGAGAGAGAGAGAGAGAGAGAGAGAGAGTATCAGAATCGGATATTGGGGTAAAACATACAATATTATAAAAACAATGTATTCAAACAATCAATGGCAATTAAAATTAAAATTGGAAACAGAATTCTTCACTCAAGGGCGGGGTGTAAGGCAGGGCTGCCCACTATCACCGACCCTCTTCAATATCTACATTAATGAATTGGCGAAACTGCTAGAACAATCAACTGCACCTGGCCTCACACTGCATGACTCCAACATAAAGTTCTTGCTGTTTGCAGATGATCTGGTTCTTCTGTCTCCAACAGAAGAGGGTCTACAGCAGAACCTAGACATCCTGCACAAGTTCTGTCAGACCTGGGCCCTGACTATTAATCCTAACAAAACTAAAGTACTAACATTCCAGAAAAGACCCAGAGTTCAGGGAAAGAGACACAACTTCACCCTTGGTATGGGCAAAATTGAAAATGCCACAAACTACACATACCTCAGGCTGAAAATAAGTGCAACTGGTAAGCTAAATTTGGCTGTGAATGAACTGAAAGAGAAAGCAAGAAGGGCCTTTTATGCCATCAAAAAATCTATTCAAATTGAAATACCAATTAGAATCTGGCTCAAAATCTACCAATCAGCCATAGAACCTATTGCATTATAGTAAAAGTACACAATTGTTATGCTACTCAAAAAAGTACAATTACTGATAAAAACTACTTAATCTATCCAAATTGAAATACCAATTAGAATCAGGCTCAAAATATTCCAATCAGTCATAGAACCTATTGCATTATATGGCAGTGAAGTGTGGGGGTCCTCTCCTAAATCACAAATTTGAAAAATGGGACATAAATCCGATTGAAGCCCTGCATGTGGAGTTCTCTAAGAGTATCCTCAGAGTAGAGGAACACACCGAACAACGCATGCAGGGAAGCCCTTAAAATCCATGAAGTGAACCCTGAAAAAAGTCCCCTGATTGCCCCTGAAGCTGCAAAAACAAACCAACATGACTAACAACAGCCAGCATCAGGACACTGAAACATCCATCCACAAAATTCGGCCCAACCAAATTATAAAAGCACAAAAAGAAAATTATCTAACTTATTGGACTGAAACAACAGAAAAACAAAGTAAACTTGAATGTTATTTGGCCCTAAATAGAGAATACACAACTGCAGAATATCTGAGTATAGTGAAAGACTGTAAATTAAGACAAATGACGAGGTACAGACTGAGCAATCATACTCTGACTATAGAGACGGGCAGATATCGACTGCACTGGCTGCCCAAAGAGAGCCGCATCTGCCCATACTGTACCCATGGAGAAGTGGAGACAGAGCAAGACTTCCTCACCAGCTGCCCTAACTATCAAGACATTAGAAAGACATTTTATCCAAAATTGGAAGTACTTTGCCCTGACTTCAAAATGTTAAACAATAAAACACAACTTCAATATTTATTAGGTGAAAAACAAGATTGTATCTTACTAGCAGCAAGATACATTGATGCCTGTCACAAAAAGAGGGAGGAGTCAACAAATCAGTGATGCGCCTACACACACACACACCACACCACTGAATTTTAAATTGTTCATAGAATAATAAATGTTGATTTGTTCTATTTTAATTATATATGCATGCATTTAATACATATCTGTTTTAGATTCAATGTAAACACTATGCTTTGGCAATACATTGTAACAATTGTCATGCCAATAAAGCACATATTGAATTGAATTGAATTGAACTGAATTGAATTGAGAGAGTGTTTATTACCTCTCTTTGAGAGTCTGTGTCTCTCAAAATTGTTCGGCGGCAGCGTCTCTACTAACAGTGAAACTTTAATTAAATTTTCTTCACGAACAGCGCCGTTGTTACCTCGCTTGTGAGAAATATCATGTAACTTTTAAAATAAAATCTCCAGAGTAGCGATAACAACGTTAGCGCGTGTATGTTTCTGTACGGTATGTTATGTATGTGCATCTGTGAGGAAGAGAGAGCGGGAGAGATAGAGTATGTGCTTTACCTACACGTACTTAAATGTAAACGTAATTAGAGAAATTAAAGAGATTTATTTAATTTTCCATGTTTCTCCTAACACTGAGATTAAATGGAGACCAAATGTAGAAGTCTCCAGCTTCTCAGATTTATCTCAAGAAAAGACCCCAGTATTTTCACATGCATCTCCTCTAATGTTACACACTGTGCTCAGAAGATACCAAAGTCTGCAATCAAAACTCAAAGATCTCAATATGAACTCAAACATTTCTCATCAAATTCCTCCAAGACCAAATGATCAGAGTTATGCTATCCATATCAATGTTATAGCTCTATATTCTTACCATATTTTAGCAATTGTCTCATTTGGAATGTTAGAAGAAAATTCTGAGACATAGTTGATAATTAAAGGAATAGTTCACCCTCAAAAAATTAAAATTTGCTGAAAAATTAATATTTTATGAGTTTGAGTCACCATTAGAACAGATTTGGGGGAAACAAATTGCATTACATCTCTTGCTCACCAATGGATCCTCTGCAGTGAATGGGTGCCGTCAGAATGAGAGTCCAAACAGCTGATAAAAACAATAATCCACAATTAATCCACATGACTCCAGTTTATCAATTAACATCTTATAAAGTGAAACGCTGTATTAATTTTACATTTCAACTTCAAACCATTGTTTCCAGCTAAAATGCAGCTAGATTCCTCTATTCATAATATTGCTTTCTCCAGTGATAAAGTCATCTTGTCTGAATCAGGAGAGAAATATGCGCAGATCAATGTAAATGGTGCCATTTACAAGGGAAAACATAACAGTTCTAAACAAATAAACAAGTGGATTTTGATATGAGAGGACAACAGGGGATGACTTTTCCACTGGAGCAAAATTCATATTTTGGCTAGACGCAATGGTTTCAAGTTAAAATGCCTTAATGATGGATTTTTTTTCTTAAAAACTCATTTATATCTTGGATGACCTGAGGGTGAGTACATTTTCAGAAATGTTTGTCTAAACTATTCCTTTAAAAGAAACCCAGCTGAGAATGTCATTAAGTTCCTTAGACCATGAAATAGCAACTTTAAGCTTTCCTCCTCTTTTCTCAGGAACTGGACATCTACACGGTGAAGCCAGAGGAACTGTCCTTCAGCTCCTCCTTCTGTCTGCAGATCCAGAGGAACGATTATGTCCACGCTCTGGTCAGCTACTTCAATATCGAATTCACCAAGTGTCATAAAAAGACTGGCTTCTCCACAGGTGTCGTATTTAAAAACTTCTCTACTTTCTGCATCTCGGATCCCAGTGGCGTATGTGAATGTGTACTTTGTGGTTGATGTCTGCCCTCAAGTGGCTCAGTTTTGAAACAGCACTTCCAAAGACACTGAATTAAACCAAAACAGGCACCAAGAATAAGGCAAACAGATTTCTAAAATGAAAACCAGCTACATATATTGATGTATAAACATATATAAAATTTTATTATAACTCATATTTGTCATTAACAAAAACTACGTAACCGTATATGAATATTCGAATAAAAAAAGAGCACATAAACTACCTCACATGCATAACTGGAGTCTGTAAGTCCTACTTTAGATAAAGCATTTCCTGAGTTTGCTCATTAATATTAATTACATTCCATGAAGTTTGCCCAGTAGGGTAACAAAATAACAAAACTCTACTATTCTGAGGGCATAATTTTGAATAAATGCACATTAATTAAGCTTCTTGACTTTACATCCTAGAAGATTACCAAACTATATCTGCATGGCTCAGTTAATATTAACCATTTATGTCACACGTGATCTAGCGCTATTCACAAAACGTGGTTGCGTTATGTATCTTACTTTGAAGCTGACACAACAATGGTGCTCTCATTCTTGTTTGGTTTAATCCGGTTTAGAAAGCAAACCTAGCACTAGCATGTAATTAGTACAGGAAAGCCAATGACAACACAATGACATTTCAGAAGAGACATCCAGAAGTCTGTTGGTTCAGTCTCTTTTTATTTCTCTATTTCACTTTATATATGGACACAAATTAGATTTGCTCTTTTAAAAGGACGTGACTCAAACAGATTGACTGCTGTGGTTTTTACTTTTTTTTAAAGGAGACATATTATACCCCTTTTTACAATATGTAATATAAGTCTCTGGTGTCCCCAGAATGTGTCTGTAAAGTTTCAGCTCAAAATACCCCACAGATCATTCATTATATCATTTTGAAAATGCCTATTTTGAGTGGAAGTAGAAACACGCTGTTTTTCATGCATGTCTCTTTAAATGCAAATTAGCTGCTGTTCCCCGCCCTGTTTTCCAGAATAGAGCTGCGTCATTACAGCTGGTACCTGCTAAAAAACATCTGTTTTGGTTCTGATGATCATGTTTATCGTGCTGAAATCATGCGTTTTAAACCATATTAGTTTAAACTTCTGATATACGGTTTTCTGAGTGCGCATATCCGAAGCATACGGACAGAAAGCGGCTGTCACAGCATGTGAGTACTAAACTAAGTTCTCATTCACACACAAGTTTACGTTAAAAAAA